ATATATACGGACATGCATATACACAAAAATTATTGCATATCTATTGGTCTAGACATGCATATCTATTGGTCTAGACATGAATATCAGATAGATAGACAACTGTATGTCTATCAGATAGACAGACAGATTCATTTCTGTCTATATACTTGTCCGTATTTATAAATATTCATTGGGTCGAGTCTTGCACAATTCTAGCAAACGAGGCGATAGTCAGCATAGTCTCATGTAGATGTAACGCTGCGTGAAGTTGTCAAGAAATGTTATTGTTCTGTAGCAGGCACTCGGCACATGATTGTTATCCTAGCTGGATTTTGATGAAAAGTGACCACCGTAAATATCAGCCATAGAAATTCGACCAATATAATTCAATTAAAACACATTAAATGTATAAAAGACTAAATTGTAATATTTATACATTTATGGGATAGTCATAATGAACTGAAAACTGAAATTAAAGATTACTAAGCGCGTGATCAAGCAACGGGGAAAAGCGTTTATGAAGCATCACAAACATACTTTCAGACAGAATGCAACATACATTTAACACGTCATACATCATGCAATATATCTGTGTGAGTCGTTAAAGGTTCATTCAAGTGAAAATATCAGAACAGTAAAGAGCAGTGGTGCTCCATTTGTTTAAATGCAGTGCTTTCTAAAACATTCCCTACGCGATGACAAGAAAACAATATTAGTAATCAAGTAGTCCTTATCATCATTATCATTATGATTATTATGATTACTATTATTATTAGTGATATTATCACCGTCGATATTATTGTAGTTATATTAAGCTTATTAATAACGTTATCACCACCACCCCATGCATGGGACTATGCTGTTGAACTTTGAACAGTACCTGACTGTCCATATCTCTTGATGTAATGTCCTTTTAGAACCCCTCATAAGTCCTCAGATATTGATGCTCATGGTAACATTGCTGCACACCACTTTCTGATAAGTTTGTGAGTGACCGAGATAGAAAGACTATATATATAGACTTTAAGCAGATATGATGAGCAGGTACTAAATCTGTGTGTGTGTGTGTGTATGTGTGTGTGTGTATACATATATGTATATATGTATATATATACTGTATGTACATGTGTGCGTGCGTGTGTGCGTGCTTTTGTGTGTGTGTGTTTTTTTGTGTGTGTGTTTACATGTATGCATACACATACACACCTTTCTCCCGCAGGTACCAGCTTTCCAAAAGCCCCTGATAAGTCACAACTTGGAATTTCTAACATTTCATAACGCTCCCCTGTTTGTGATAATACGACCATAGGTTTTTTTTCCAAGATGTGAGTTGCATAAATATGTGCTTTACTTCCCCAGATCTCAGCCCAGTTCCCAGATCTTCCACCGCTGCTGGATATTGAACGTAACCAAAGCCTTACCTTGATGAACTCCCACTTCACGGTGACTGGTGTTCTGCCTCTTCTGCCGTCCCAGGTGGAAGTGGGGGCCATGCATTGTCGCCCTGGCAAGCTCCTTCCTAAGGTATGTTCTGTATTTATTATGTGGTTTTGGCATGTACATGGATAAGGTGACACTACGTATTTATTTTTTGTTGTCAAATAGGCTTTAGAGCAATGATTCATATGTTTTCTTGATCTTATTTGATGTCAAACAGGATTTAGAGTCCTGGATCAGCGGCGCAGGATCAGAGGGCGTCGTGTACTTCAGTCTCGGCTCCGTGGCTCAAGGTCAGACGATGCCCAAGAAATACCGAGACATGTTCGTGGAGGCCTTCAAGCAGCTCAAACAGCGGGTCATCTGGAAGTATGAGGTGGCGCTGGAGGGCGTCTCTGACAACGTGCTGATGCGGAAGTGGCTGCCGCAGCAAGATATTCTCGGTGAGTTAATCTTGGCTGGTTCTGAAGTGCAAAATTTCCAGAATTTGTGTTTTTTGTTTTTATTCTCGGTGAGTCAACTTTGGCTAACGCTAAGGTGCAGAAAAATCTAGATTTTCCATGTGATATTAATAAATATTGTCATAAGTGTGCCCTTTCTGATGATATCGGTGAATAACCATTGCCACGATGATATGAGAACAAATAAAAGTGTAGTTAAAACGATTTTTCGTCATAATAGGAAACAAAGTGTTGTGTAAAGATAGCCAAGGCAGTACAGAATCCAAGAAGGGGATTCCTCATGTGTTTTACCATTGGTCTCTCAGCTCATCCAAACGTCCGCGTCTTCATCACCCACGGAGGACTCCTCAGCACTCAGGAGTCCTTCTACCACTCCACGCCAGTCCTCGCGGTCCCCATCTTTGGCGATCAGCCCAAGAATGGCATGGATATACAGGCCAGCGGCCTCGGTCTGATGCTGGTGTGGGAGGAACTGACGGTCGAGCTCATCGTTAACAGCCTCCAGGAACTCCTTAATAACCCCAAGTAAGAATGCCTCTCGTAATATTGTATTTATAACTATAGCTGTCGACATTACTTAAGGTGGCCATACACGTTCAAAAAAAAGCGTCAAATTTTTGCATCAAAATTTTGTATCAAAATTTTGATGCATAATTGCCCACACACGTTTAGGCGTTTTTCCCATCAAAATTCAGTATCGTCAAAACCTTCGACATGGATGCATCAGTGGCCATAGCACTAGTGTTCGCACTGGAATCTGATAAACCTCCTGGTAAACGTCGGAAATGGTCAAAAGACTGGTTTTTAAAACGGGAAACCTACGGACAGATTATTTATTTTTTTCTTCAGATCTTCTAATGTGGCGGAAGTAAAATGCTCACGATATTTCTGCAGTAGAATGTCATAGGCTTCGGCTTTCTTAGCACGATTGCTATAATCATCCGACTTAATTCTCCACAAGGCTGGCAAGGTCTGATACACTCCTAAAACTTCAATCAAAAACTTCTTTTCGGCCTCCTTCTTCACAGACATGGCGATCCTATCTCCTCGTCAGTCACCTGCGAACTAAAAAGTTTGATCAAACAAAATTTTGACAGGAGCCCACACACGCATAAAAAATTTGACGACTCATCAAAAAATATCAAACGGATTTGATCAATCAAAATTTTGCTTCAAATCTTTTTTTGACATCAAAACGTCCTACACACACTCAAATTTTGCATCAAAATTTTGATATCAAAATTTTGCATCAAAATTTTGACGCTTTTTTTGAACGTGTACGGGCCCCTTTAGTCTCTGTAAACTTGGAGGCTGAGCGGTACTTGTGGTGGCAACATGAACTACTATTGAGTAATATTCATATCATACTTTTGTTTCTTGATGGAGTATGCTTAAAAAGATAAACTTCGTTGTTTATTTTGATATAGGAGATGTAAGATCTCTCTTGAGTTTAATTCCCAGTTTATTTGTACATAGAGGGAATATGGCATAATGTATTTCAAAACTGAGGAAGTAAGGGATACGACGTTCAATGATATCAACATAGAGTGTGTTGATATGCGGTTGCGTTGTGCAGTCTGACGAAAGAGTTGTTTTTCTGTTCATCAGATGGACACATAAGTATTTGGTAAGCCTGGGGCAGTAACAAATATACGATAATCCACAACACATCGAATTCTTAGTAATAATTGTTGATATACTACGTATGCATATCTTAAAAACACAAACTCCCTTGCTGGTACCGCAAGTTCTCCCTTTGGAACAGCCATAGCAAAGATTTAAAGTGTGGTAGGCCTACCCCTGGAACAGCCATAACAAAGATTTGAAGTGTGGATGTTGTCAAAGATCCATAAAATGCATTTAAAGACAATTTTCTCGTGAGTAACTGATTGGCGATTTCTTAAAACAGACTTTTAAAATTTTCATTCATCTTGAAAAACGTTTCAGTGAGAATTTTATTGGCAAAAGGTATAAAACCTTAAGCATTTTGTCTGCCTTCCTGTCTTTTTTGAGGAGTTTTGAAAGAATGTGTACTCTCTGTGCCCTTCTCCTTCGTTTTGTTCTCTATTATATCCACCGAAAGTGGTTAGATCTTCCAGTATAATTTTTAGTTGTATTTCATCTTCCGTAATAAATCAGTATATATGCTTTGATGCTACACGCCTTTTTTAAAAAGAAAATAGTGTGTCCCACTGTATTTATATGATGCAAGAGTTAATATGCATGGAGGTTTGAGCAATTATTTTTAATTCTTATCGAAATATTCTTTATGATAATTCTAGGATCTGGTATAACTGGCATAATACTTCATCCTTGAGTTCTTATCAGTTCTTATCATCCCTGAATTCGTATCAGTTTATTAATACAATGTCAGAGCTTTATAGAAAGCAAAAAGGACCCCAACTAGATGCGTTTCATTATTTTTAGAGATTCTTCTTCACAAAATAAAAAAAATATGATCACTGGATCATAACAAATTCACTCATCAACAGCATGCCGCCTGCCAGTTTCAGCTTCGATTCCTCACTAACACTCTGCTCTCCCTCAGGTACAAAATCACAGCCGACGAAGTTCAGAGTTCTCTCCGCGACCAGCCTCAGAGCCCGAAGGATCGCGCGGTGTTCTGGACCGAGTACGTAATCCGGCACAAGGGCGCCCCCCGGCTGCGGTCTCCGGCGGCGCAGCTGTCGTGGGTCGAGTTCCTCATGCTGGACGTGCTGCTGGTGCTCCACGTCGCCGTGTTCGTGGTGGTGTACGTGCTCCGCCGCCTTCTCGGGGCCTTCTGCTCGCGGGTCCTCGGGTCCCAGAGCAAAGGCAAGAAAAAGAAGAGGGAGTGAGTTTCTTTGGTGATTTTTTCAGTCTCTAGATATTTTTATATATATGAAAATTATTAAACTGATTTTTAGCTCCCCTACAGTGTCCAAATACAATTATCTCTCTCATATCAATAAATTGGAATCTTTCCATGAAGCGTTCTTGTCCTATAGCTACTGACACCATTACAGTATTCATAACTAATAACTAACAAATAAAAACTGAATCTGAAAAGATGACAATTACTGAACAAGATGTCAGTTATCCTGCTGTAATTATTTTTTATGACAATAAAATATAATGTGTAAA